CTTTGGACTCACTCAGAGCCAAACTACCAGGAAGAGATGCAGCAGCAGAATACAGAACAATGGACAAAGTGCCCCAGACTGCAGGCTGGGATCAAGAATGAGGAATCAGGACCGAGAGTTTCAGAAATAGCTTCTTTGACTGCTAACAGTCTGCCAAGGATAGGTAGCTGTTCAGGATTTCTCTTACATCGCTATCATTAGCCACAGACACACTTTAACACACTTGGTATCTGGGGTACACAACCCAAACAAGGGTGTGGACTGTGTTGGTAAGAGCCTGACTTACCAAATTCAGGTTTTACCTTCAAACCTTCATATTCCCTCAATGCACTAATAAACACTCCCACCTCTCACAATAAACCAGCATGGGGCACCTATGCCATGGGATAAGGGCCTGCCCCACTGCACTGACAGCCACACTAACAGCTCTGGTAGGTCCTGTCCACCCACTGATAAGTGCTGACTGTGTGTAAACTTTGGCTTCCTACACTTCCTGCATCACCAGCACCCAGCCAACCCTGCTCAGAGGCTCCAGCCATGTGGAGTTTCACTGCACACATGCAGAGGAGAGGGACAGGAGGACAAACTGTAAGCACTTGCTGCAGAGCTGCTGGGACACCAGTGTGGGCTGCCTGACTCTCCCAGCGCTGGAGAGACGCTGCCAGGGAGCTGCTGCAACAGCCCCTTTGTATGTGTGACTACAGGCCAATTATGGGCTGAAGTTGCCAGATGGATTTTGTCAGCAGAGTGCATTGTCATCCCATTTTCTGTGGGATGTGTGTCATCCAAGAGGTGTAATGATACAGACCCCTCCTGAAGAATATCCAGCTATTAGATCAGCGAGTGAGTGATGAGCTGTGAGCTGCTTTACAAGTTAATACTCTGCCTTTCTGCATTAGTGGACTCAGGAAGCACTGCAAAACTCTAAATTGCACTGCAGTGGTACTATCACTGCTCAGCTTGCAAAACACACACATTTCCTATTTTTTTTCATATTTTCACACTTAACATACGTTATCATGAAATCCCAATAACTGACCTTGATAAGGCCTTTTCTAGGAAGGTGTATGTACTGGAAGACAAAATGTTTAATTAATTTATTAGTTTTCTACAATGCTGTCATTCTTCAGAGCAAACAAATGGGAATTGTCCATGCAATGGTTCCAGCACTGGCTGGGAGTAAAGCCCATTAGAATACTTGTCTCCATCCTTCAAACAAATCCCAGCAGTGTCTCACAGATCTCCACTTCTGCACTAACATTTTGCCGTTTGGTGAGACCGTGATTAAAGAAATAATAATCCTTTTTCCTGTATTTGTAGGTTCTCCATTGTTCAAAGCTGTTGCTGAAATAGAGGTATTGGGGGTTTTTTTGGCTTTTCTTGTGAAAGTTAATTAGGAAAAAAGCAAACAGGACTCGTTAGAGCTACACACTAATCAGAGAGAAATACACATGGAAGGAGTGAAACATATTGTGAAGCAAATAATTGATCTGCTGCCTATGAAGCGCTGTTCCAATCACATTACTCCAGGCATTGCTCCCAGCACCGTTTTTGACAAACAAACCCCCTTCTTCACAGGCATCATGTGGAAGAGTTTAATTAGTCTTTCTGCCTTTCATTTTTCACCAGGTTGCATGAACATACACAGAACCAACAACTTAAGTCTTGACCAGAAGACTTCCAGGTCAACAAGGTTTGGAAGTGAAACCTAAATCTGCAGTTGGTTCTTGCCTGTGTTGGCAAGTGGATGAGAAAGGCAAACAACAACAACAACAACTCTGACTTCGAGCTGAAAACAAGTAAACCTTTCCCAAACAGTGTGCTCCTCCACATTCACTGATCTTAATTTGATAACTCAGGATGATGAAGTGAGACTGAGTTTAGCTCTGGAAAAAAACCCGAAGTTGTAAAATGGGTTTGACAATCACTGTCTGAGAATGTTTCTCTTTTCAGTTGCCCAGAGGAATGGAAACAGCTGGTATCAGCTAATGTTTAGGATTCTTACTTGCCTAAACAGCATTTACCAAATGGAAATCATCTAGAAAATGTGGAAGCATGCCTTCTCTGTGTCATTTTTCTTCTGTGTGAGAATTTCAGAAATGTCTCCAGAAAAAGAGCAATTGCCAAACAATGACTGATTAAAAAAAAAATAAATTGAGAATTTAGGACAATTAATTCTTACATGGACATGATAAGCCAAATAATAAAGGACATTTTATTCCAAACAGTCATTCTTAAATGTCTGTGTCTGGAAAGTAAAGCAAAGCACTCAGTTGTTAAAGTTGTGTCTTGTCATATGAATCCATGGAGTGGGTTAATATAGAGGAAATGAGCTGTTAGATGTTTTATCTGTTCTGCTTTTTTATATTTCCAGCTCTCCTAATGGGTATCTGTAGTATTTATTTAGAAAACCAAGAATAAATACATTTTTATAAGTTTAAATTACCACTGATACTTTTCTAGCTATGTATTTGCTGGATAATGTACTACACCCTTGAAAACCTCGTATTTGCCATTAAGCTAAATGACTTCCTGCTGCTATCCAGCTGTTACCATAGTGGTGACATAGGCATTTTCTTTAATGTAGTTAGGACAAAACCTTCAGAGTACTTCTTTATTCAGGCAGGAAGCACAGTAGGTGGTTTGAGACTGTGACGTGACACATCCTGCTTTTGCAGTCGTCATCATTTTTCCTTCTTTTCAAAATTTTATTTTATCCCATTATTTAGAAAGGTAAAAATCAACCTGTATAAATAACAGAAGGAAACATAAAGCTGTCCTAGCTTTTAACAAGGCTCTCTGACTCATTTATACGAATCTTAGGATGCCCATGATGCTTTTTCTAGCACACAAAAGCCTCATGAAAAGATGGATAATTAACTATAAAGGCTGTTTTATAGAACTAAAATACAGACCTTATTTTTTAACCTAGGTATTCCTCACAATTCAGCTAACATCAAGTGGTACTGAGAAAGATGTTTCACTACATAAAGATGTCCACCACAAAAGCAAGGATAAGTCAAAAGTAATTATGACTTTATAACCTTGAATAAAAACTCTGTGTCAATAATATATTAATCTGAAGAGGAACTGGTAAATACTTATTTTCAAAATATTTTGCTTTGCCTGCATTACTTTATTAAAATGTGTGAGTCTCTGTGTTTTGGAGACATATATGTATATACCATGTATATGTATATACCATATATATGTATATACTATGCATCTTAATTAAGTAGAATGGATTTGCTGAAATTCTACACACTTTCTTCTCAGGGCTATTTTGTGAGTGGAAAACCACTTCTACACCAAGTGCTTGAAAACTGTTCATTTTGATTAAATGTGGAGAACACAGTACAAAGCAGAGAAAGCACAGCAGTGCTGGCACTGCCAGAGGCACAGGTGCACTGAGGCCTCAGCTTTCGACTTTATTTAAAATTCTCCATTTTCTTCTGTTTCATCGTTTTCACCTCATCTTTTATTTATTTTTATTTCTAATTCTCCATTTTCTGTAGTTTCATTGTATTCGTGTAATGATTTACACTTCAGCAGAGGCGGAGTCATGCAGGAGACTGAGAAGGAAACGACAAAAGATGTCCTGATAGGCAAGAGGAATGTCTGGAAAGACTAAAAACATGTGCTGCCTGACCACATGGAATATTTTTAACTCTTATATCCTGATTAGCAACTGAAGGGAACACAGAACAACCTGGGGAGACTTAACAGAGATCACAGAATCAACTGGGTTGGAAAAGACCTCTGAGATCATCAGGGTTTGATCTATCACCACCTTGTCAACTAAGGATGCTCAGATGAGCAACACGTAATAAAACAGGCACATGCCTTAGGGACAACAACTGGAAGACAGCATCCATAGGGTTGGTTCGCCCCAAGCTTTTATATCCAGAGAGAGACCATTTAGATGCTACATGATAATTTTTACTGAAACCCTTAACAGCTTTTCTTAACAGTATTTATTAAAATGATTCACCATTTTAGCCATTTTTATTTTTTTAAATAATAATAAACAGACAATTTGCCTTTTAAGCCATTTTTATTTTTTAAAATAATAATAAAGATTCGCTTCTTTAGCCATTTTTAATTTTTAAAATAATAATACCCCCCTCACAATTCACCATTTTAGCCATTTTTATTTTCTAAGTGATAACAGAAAAACCCTCACGATTCACCATTTTAGTAATTTTTATTTTAAATAATAATAAAAACACTATTCACAGTTTTAGCCATTTTTATTTTTTAAATAATAATAAACAGACAATTTGCCTTTTAAGCCATTTTTATTTTTTAAAATAATAATAATAAAGATTCGCTTCTTTAGCCATTTTTAAAATAATAATACCCCCTCACAATTCACCATTTTAGCCATTTTTATTTTCTAAATGATAATAGAAAAACCCTCATGATTCACCATTTTATTAATTTTTATTTTAAATAATAATAAAACCACGATTCACAGTTTTAGCCATTTTTATTTTTTAAATAATAATTAAAAATCCGCGATTCTCCGTTTTAGCCATTTTTATTTAAAAAAATAATAATAATAATTATAACACCCCCCCTACCCCCCCCGATTCGCCGTTTTGGCCATTTTATTTTTACGTCTCGCACCTCCCGCCGCGCTCGGATGCGGAGGGGGGAGCGCGGGGGGGGGCGGCGGCGCCCAACGCACGCGCGCCCACGTGGGTGTTCCGCACACGCGCGGTTTAACGCGGCCGCCGCGCGGTGTTTCCAGCGCACGGGCCCGCGGCCGTGACTCGCTCAGGGGCGGGTGTGGCGGTGCCCCGGCCCCGCAGGCCCCGCCGCCCACCCGCGGCCCCGCCGCGCTCCCGCCCCCGCGGCCGTTCCCGAGGGCCGCGCGCCCGCCCCGCCCCGCGCTCCCCGCGCACGCGCGCGGCCCGTGGCACCGCCCCGCGGCGCGCGGCCCGAGCACAGCGCGCAGGCGCAGCCCCCGCCCCGCCGCCTCCCCGCACGCCGCGTCCCGCTGCTCTCGCGGCCCGTCCGTCCCCTCTGACCCGGCGCCGCCGCCGCCGCTCCATCCGGGCCCTCGGCGCCTCTCGGGGAAGATGGCGGCGCTGCTCCCGGGAGAGTGGATAAAGAACTGGGAGAAAGGCGGCAAGAGCGAGTTGTGAGTGCGGGGCCCGGCCGCGGGGCGGGATGGGGCGCTGCGGCCTGCGGGAGCGGGGCGGGGAGGGCGGGGGGCGGCGGGGAGGACGGCGGCCGGGGCTGCGTCCTTGCTGCCGGGCTGGGGGTCGACGCCGCGGTCGGGCGGAGGGCCCGGGCCTCCGCCCCGGCCGGTGCTGCCGCCCGCCCCGACGCTCGGCCCCCGCAGCTGGGCCCGGCGCCCCGAGCGCCCCCTTCCAGCCTCCGGGCCCGGCTCGTCGGGATTCGGGCTCCTCTTCAGCCGCCCCCCGCGGTAATACGGACCCTGGCGCATTCCCGTTCCGCTGGCTCCGCGGTGCTGGCCGTTCTGGTGGAGGCCTCGGCCCCCGTTCCCACCTTTCTGCCGGTTCCGAGGGGACTGGCGCTGTATTCTCTGACCCAGGCGAGGTAGATCAGCCAGTCATGCCTGTTCTATCCCACAAAGTAACCTTTGTGCACCGAGGGGCCTGGGTGCAGCCTCCTAGACCAACCCAGGTGTGCTGAGAGCTTTCCGTTCGGGCCTCATGTGTGTCTGTTTTAAGCCATTTTGGCAAGTTAACTGATTGCTGTGTGCTGAGTTCCAGGAGTGCATCTCTTCTGGGGTAATTCACCAGTTTGGCCCTTTCACGTTACTCTATTAGCTTTAACAGCGGTACTCCGTGTACTAACTATGTTTTTTAAATGCTCTTCTTTCTTCCATGCACTTCTGTTTTTGTTGTAACTGAAAAACCCTACAATTGTAAATAACCGGTGTTTGGGGGATCGCTTTGAGAAACGCTTCTTGAGAGTCGCTCTTTTTCTTATTTTCTTTTGTTCATCTTTCTTAAAAGGGTGTGCAGCTTTGCTAATGATCTTCCTTGTGCATGTAGAAAAAGGTAGTAGGTTAGAGAATAGAGAATGTAGAGCCTCCCTGCACAAAATACTGTTCTTTCCAGGCCCTCCATTTTGTAGTGAAGGGGCCTCTCTTTATAGCCATGTAACTTTTGGTTTGAATTATGCTGGAGCCGTTATCATGTTAGTATGTAAGTTAAACATGTTGGAAGGTTGTGTGGAGTTTGCATGAGGACAGAAATGTCATAGCTGCTCATATAAAGGCAGCTGCTCTGTTCACGTTGAGTTCTCAGCACTTTGAGCAAGTTACCTCAGCTTTTGACCATGATAAAACCTTTTAGGATTCTCCCCTCCCCTTAGAGCAGTGCTTCTTAACCACGATGGGAATAAAGTGTTCATTTGCTACAGGACCAAAAAGCAAAATGATTAGCTAAATTCCTGTATTTGTGGCATTTGCACTTCATTTGGAATACTGCTTAAATGCAGTTCCAGGCATGACTTGAAGAGCAGTTTGCAAGAGAGGCCATATGTTTTAAAAGAAATGTGATTGTGTCTTGGATGACAGTTGTGAGGTTTTACAGTGGTAGCTTTATAAACATAAAGGAGCATGCTTGAACTTACTTTCTAGAACCTAAACTACATCTCTGTAGCCACAATTTAGAGAACTGTTTAGGAAGCTAACTTTATTGGGAGAGTCTTCAGTGTGTAAGTTCATGTTTCTTTTTTCATAACGTCCTATCCTATTTTACTACAGGAAAACAAAACTAGGATGCTGTCATTACAAAATGAAATATTGAAATATGAAATATTTTAAAATATTAAAGGGAAATAAATGTAATGATACTTCTTAATTTTATCGAATTACTTATCTAATACCAATATGCCCAGAAACTTAAATTAGGTCTAGGCCTAAGTCCAGTCATGGGTTTTGTGGTTCAAAATTAAGACAATACATTATAATGATAAGTTAGAAAAATGGAAAGGGGAAAGATACTGCCAAAGGAGAAAACTGACATTGCTAGCAAATAGAGGATTTGCAAAAATTTAGAAGGTGTTTTTGTTTTTGTTTTTTTTTGTTTTGTTTTGTTTTGTTTTTGTTTATTTGTTTTGTTTTGTTACTGTATGGAAGCCTGGTCTGATAAAGCCCACACATGAAGTCAGAGAGCATTCACTTCTGTATGGAGGGGTTTGGTTTGTTTTTAAACAGAGTGGTGGGCTTATTCACAGGGAGACAAATACCAACTTTTTTGAAAAGTGAGGACCTCCCCCCCCATAATTAGTAGAAAGAAAAGATTAGGTCTTATGGAAAAAATATTTACTTGCTGGAGCATGAAATGACTTTCATGATCTAACTAGATTGGTTGAGATAGTATTTTGGCAGATACTTGTTGCCTAAATGAAAGCACAGTTTTATGTTTTGGAGGAATATGAAACTGTATTGAGAGAAGCAAATTATTTGTTTTAGTTTGGTATTTCATCTTCTACTGGGATAAATAATGGATGCTTAAAAAAATTGCTCTCCTTTCTTAAATTTTCTTTTTGAGTGGTGTGGTGTCATGATTTAACAGTAGTATCCAAAAACCAGAAGGTAAGGATTCTGTGTGTCTTAGAGTGTCATAGTGTTAATTAGTAGGACAGCAGTGACAGTTTGCTTCCAGGAAATTTTTCAGAGACCTTGTTCAAAACATAAATACATAAATGTATATCGTGGTAGTTTCAAATGTTCTTAGCTGCCAAAACTAGACATTGATCAGGATGTGGTCATCTTGTCTGTCATTTTTTATATTGTTAAGACCCTTCTCTATCTAAATACAATTTATTACGTTCATTTGTTGCTACTGCCAGATATTGTGTACAGATGGAGTTGGAATCCGAGGGTGACTACTTATGCTGCTCAGCCTGGACTCCTTGTAGACCTATTTGTGTACTGCCCATGTAGTGAGACTGTTTTGTCATGTCTTCCCAACAAGATGCTGGTCCATGACTGAAGCCCATATGGACATTTACAATACACATGCAGTGGCAAGCACTGATTGATACCTTATTTTGTGAGAGATTCAGCACATCAGGGAGCCTTTAGTGTGGACGGAGGGCTTTAATAAAGTACTTGTCTGGCAGTTTATGCAATATGTTAAGCCTCAAGATAAACTGAAGAAGCTTAACATTCTGTGAATGTGAAATTTTGAGACCTGATCTTTCAGGCACTCTCAACATTAACTCAACACTTTGACTTTGCTCATGCAAGTAAAGGGCTGAGAGTCAGGGAAACTGTTCAGTTGTAGTTTTGCCATCCTGACTGCAGAATGCAATTGATTGTACTTTATCTCAACTGGAGAACTACCCACATCAGTTAAATTATGCATATACTTAGATGTTAGCAGGCACATGCACTTTGATAATTACTGCTTTAATCCATGTGTGGGAGTGAAATGGAGGTTATAGGATGTGGTGTATGAGTTGGGAGGCCTTGGTTCAGTTGCTGGCTCTGCCATACAAACTTGTTTAATAGGTGCTCGCGCTGCTTCAGAATTTCTTGTTTCACACAGTTTTATCTTCGTTTGAAGGGATGTGTTTTAGTAGAGCAAGGAAGTTCTCCATCCTCAGCTTGCAGCAGGGAGCTACAATGTCGGAGTAATAACAGTTGCAGATGAACTCTTAACAGACTGTACCAACGTTGATATATCTATTCTTGTGAAGGTGCAGGTATTTTGATTTTAATTTATGATGCACTCAGTTGAGATAGATGAACTAGTCTCTCATCTAGTTGTTACTGGAAGGTAGGGCTTCTGCCCTGTCTTCAGTCACCTGGGTGTTTGTCTGACCTGCTGGTGAGCTGCTTCAAGTCGGCTGAGTTTTTGACCAGTTTTCTGCCAGGTTTGTCAATAAAATTGATGTAGCTAACGTGAGGGCTGGAACTGTGGGGGCTGAGAAGGGAAGAAGTGTTGGTGAATGTGTCCATCTCTGCACCAAGGCATTGAATCGGCTCGCCTGTACTGCCTGGCAGCGCCTGCAGAAAAGGTCTTCTTCCTCTGGAGAGAGAGTGTCTGTAGAAAAGAACATGAACACAAAAAGAAATTCTTTTACCACTTTTTCTTCCAGTATAATAATTCAGTGGGTTCTATTTGCAAATATTAAGCAAGTTGTTTTGCAGACTGATCCTAAATATTGAGTTTCTTGTTACATTGATCAAGCAGGTTCACGTCTTAAAGTAATGTGAAGTTGATAGTACTGTTTTGGTGCTGCTGGAAAGGGAATGGGAAGAGGTTAAAACTCTTACCTTGTAGTATTACTTTGTTAACCTGGTTGATGATACCACCTTATGACATAGGGGTCAAAGTGTGCATCTCAGATAATTTTTTTTGGAATCAGATGCTTCACTTTACTGTTATTTGTGTACAGAGCGTAGAAATGAGTGCTTATAGGCTGCTTTCTTTATGGAGGAGTAATTAAAATTTAAGGAAATCGATTTATATTGAATTGATACACTCTTTGAGGACAACTGGGGATAAAATCTATTATTTAAAAAACATGTATTTACTGTTCATGAAAAATAAAATACCTATTCCCCTATTTTGCTGTCTCTATTCTGGTTATTTCCAAATACATTGCATTCTCTTCAAGAGCATTTAGAACATCTTAGCCACACCCTCGCTTTTTGCTCAGCTTCTCTGTTTCTGCTGATTACATTGTGTGAAACTCCCCACTTTCCAGTTGTCTGTAAAGGGTGTGTATACCTTATATTTGCTAATTATAATCCTGTGATTGCTGGAACAGCTGTTTAGTCCTGTTAGAGAGGCGGTGATCTATATAGGATGCAAACAGAATGAGTAATGGATTGCTACAGAAGTATCTTTTACTGTTTATTTTTCTGTAATAATTCTGCATACCTGCCTTATTTGAGACAACTTAAAAATAGCTCCCACAGGAAACTGTAGTCTTGCTATCTCATGTAGGAATGCAACATAGCTCTGATACTGTCCTCAGTTTCTGCATGGGAAAGATACTTGGAAAAATATGTGAACTTTTGGTTGAAAATGTGCAAATGTGACAAAGGTTCTTAAAATATTCATTGGTGTCTGTTATAATATAGATAACTCACTACCCTTTTTTAAAAAACTGTCACTTCTAAATGTGAAACTGCTTTTGAAGCCTCATCCTGGGGTGACAGTAGTGGTAGAGAAGAGGGAAGATCCTTGTATCTTGGAAGCATGACCATTTCTAAGCTGTCAGTGTAGTGGAGAAGCCTGCTCTTTAAGAATTTATTTTATAATATAGAGAACCATTAATTTATTTCATGGAACAGTCTGTATAGTACTTAGTGTGCTTTTTGCATATGGCTGTTGGGTTGAGGGAGCCCCAGGAGTGACCAACGACAATGGAATGTGACAGGTCTCATCCTATAGTGGATTCTCTTAAATAAAATTCTGCCTTCTTTTGGTAAAACATCATGTACCTAGTTTAATGTTCAAAGTTTTTTTACAGGCCAGAGTTTGAAAACTATCATAGTCATAGTAACTCTGTGAGAAGAATTTCTTCATTGGATAACAACAGTAGGTTATTGCTGCCACTTCCATGCTTCCATTCATACTAAAATTGCCTCATGCTCTCACCTTTCGGTGTGTAAGAGTGTGTAATGTTAGGAAGAATATTTTTTTAAGTCTGTGATTTATATGTGTATGAGATCACTTGGGAGTCTTGTTTTGTCGCTGTGTAAGTTCTCTGAATGAGGGTTTACTCTGGAAAAATTAAATGTAGTCAGCCATGAATCTTAAGCTGCTTTAGCCAGAGCAACAACAAAAACAAGAACCCCAAAACATTTGTGTGTATGCCACTATCTAACAAATTTTTTCTTTTTTTTTCTGTTAATATTTTTTTATTTCAGTGTGCAGCTGTGTCGTGCTCTCAGCGAAAACAAAAACCATGATGTGGGTTTCAGAGGTAAGTTGGTTGTGTGGTTTGTTGCTTGGTTTTAGTTAAATTAAAAAAAAAACAAACCTGGAAATAGTTGATCATGGTACCTCTGCATGTATGTGCTTGGAATGTTCATATATGGTGACCATTAGTGTGTGCTAAAGGGAAATACTACAAATATTAAGGTAATACCAACATCCACAACTGGGATTGTCTTCAATGAGTGGTGTCAGCATCATCTAGTATTTGGTCTCTGCTGTAGAAAATGAATTGTGTTTTGCAAACTCAACATACATCTGAATTTTATTCTACGAGTTAAATACATGAACACTGGTGTGTGCAAGTGTGAAATGAACCTGCCTCTTTAAAAACTAAAATTGGGTTTAATTCAACTACAGTGGTCTGCAGTCACCATGTTACTGAGTACTTGGTTTGAGGCATTAAGATCTGCAACTTCTTTATTGAATATTGTTTATTGAATGAACCATGTGGTACAAGTGCAAGGTGAAAGCATGGAGGCTTGTTATTTTTCATATAGTAAAAAGTGTCACAACATTGTAGTGTATTGTTTAAGAACCTTACAGTTTTACCACAGCTGGTTTTCCAATGACTGTGTTTAACATTGCAAGATTTTTCTCTAATGCAGTGCCTCTGTTTAGTGCTTCAGTTTAATACAGGCTTTTGTAAGGTTGCATTCTTGAGTTATAGGAGACTGTCTTTAAAAAAATTAAATTAAAAAGTCCTTTTTAAGCACTTTTTTCTCCAATTAAATTTTGCTTACTCCAAGAAAAATGGTTTTTGAAAGCATATCTGTGATGAGACATGATAAGGAGAAAATAGCGGAATGTTTTTTATGGGTGTAGAATATGGTGTTGGTGTGAATAAGGTAAAGGTGTCTTTGTTAAACCAACTACTAGTACTCAAGTTATTATATGCAGGACTGTAGTTTTTCATCCCATATTACAATTATTCCATAAACTCTCTAGATAAAGTGGATCATCTCTTACTGTCTGCTTGTATGAAGTCTTAGATATTCATGATCAATTTTATTCTATCAGCAGTAGCAAAGTAATCCCTCTCATTGGTAACAGAAGCATACCCTGTTTGCTTGCAGGGTGTCTGAAGTCTTCAGCATTATTGTAAATATTGCTTTAGCAGTTAGGTGAAGGATTATGTAACATGTTCTTTAATCATCTCTTTTCTTTCAACAGATATCCAGCAGGCTTTGTATGAGCTTGCATACCACGTTGTCAGAGGAAACTTAAAGCATGATCAAGCTTCTAATGTTCTTGGCGATGTCATAGTAAGTATATATTTGTAATCATTGCATACTTACTAAATTTTTACTTTATTATAAAAGTCCAAGTGAAATCCAAGCAGGATAATATTCAAGATTCAGGATAATATTTTTTTTCCCGTGTCTGAGAAGTCATTCTTGTCAAGCTCTTTTTCTTCTTTTGGGTGCACTTGATATATATGTAATCTGTCAGGGTTTCATTTTTCCCCCCACCTTTTATGGTGAGGAATAGATGTGTTCATTTCAGCATAAATTAAAAATTAAGTCATTTTTTAAGGGCATATGAAGCCTGAAGTTTCTAATAAATGCTAAAAATAAGTGTCACTTGCTCATGCAGCACATCTGTAATGCCACCTACTGGTTTTTATAACAGTGTAACAACATCTGCCATTTTACTGTTGGGATGTCCAAGTTCTGTGATGGCCTTTAAAATAATGCATTAGACTTATTTTTTTGGTTGAAGAAAGGTTTTTCTTAAAATGCTTTGAATAAATGAGAAAGTAGGGAAAAGCGTATTTTCCTGTAAACCTCCAAGATTACCAAATACCACTGTTCCTTAAAAAAAAAAACAAACCAGAAAAAATACATTAAAAGAATCTTATATTCTTTGGAAGTTCTTGGTTTGCTGTATTGATGTGCACGGAACATTAAGGAAAAGTACGTGTTGCATTAATCTAGTGTAACCTTTTTGTGCTTTTTAAACTTGTGCATTGGGTATGAGGGCAGTCAAGGTTCTAGGGCACCTTGCTTTTGGGATGGCATGTGACAATGTTGGATCTTTAGTTGCTGTAGGAAATTGTAATTTGTTTGGTGCTTGAGAAAGTGCAGGTCACTGTACAGGCTGCTGCTCCTCACCCAGGGAGTTCCATTGGGCTTAGAGAAATGGAGGTGCTGACCAGGTTTTGTTTTTTTCCCTTGGTCACTAGATACACTTTTAAATTACATTCAAATGTTATGGTGTTTCATTATGTATCAATAATTGGTACAGGACTTATGTTAGATATTAGTCAATAATTAAGCATCTTCATTATTAATATGAATTATTAATGAATATGAAGTTACTTTATGATTAAGTGTTTTATGTAGCGGAATAAGAATTTTGTAAGTGTGCATATTGGAATTCTGTATTCATTAAGTGGGATCTTTTCCTTAGGAATTTCGAGAAGACATGCCTTCTATCCTAGCTGATGTATTCTGCATATTAGGTAAGCTGGGTTCCCTTCCTTTCAGCATTGTAACAGATTTTGAGAAATACATGTTTTGTGCATCTGCTTGTTGACTTCTGTGGGAGATTTCATTGAATCTGTAAAGCATGACTTCTCTTTACAAACTATGTTGATTCCTCCTCAGTGTATCTGTATCTCACTCATTAATATATTTTCATTCCATTTCCAGAACTTTGCCTATTAAAGGCTGTGGAAGTTGATCTGCCAAGAATAGTTAAAGGAGTTAGCTTGTAAGAATGTCGGGTGTTAGCTAATGGAATCAGTGACTTAGTGATGTTATCGTTCTTAAATATTTTAAATAAAAGTTGACTTACGAGTAGGTAGATCCTCTCTTCTCAGAATGTGTTCTGTAAATATTTTTATCTGTACAGTCACTGTTAGTGAAATGGAGCTTATGCAAATTGTCCATAAATCTAAAGGCAAATGGCATCACTGGGCAAGTCACTGTCTGCCAGCTGAGCAGGCTTTAAAGATGTGTACGTCTTATACTGGTGATAACTTCTGGATTTTTATATTGTCATGTTGATCCAAAGCTGTTTTTCTCATGTTTCTAGCATTTTCCAGATCATAACTTTAACTGCTTGCAGTTTCTGTCTTGCTCCATGTCTAGTTTTCAACGACTTGAAAATTTTCAGAAAATGCTTTTGATGGTCTGCTTGTCACAGATCCTGTTTTTACCTGTACTAAAGGAGTGAGGTGTCCTCTGTGCTATGGCTGCCTGTGAAGAGAGGCACCTAATTAAGCTTACATGTGCAGCCTTGGTTTGAACATCTAAGTGATGAATTTTGATTTTTTTTGATAGTGCTTCATTCCGTGTACTTGTATCATCTTCTTGTAATAATTACTTTTGTATCTGTCTGCGGTTTTTTGTCTTTTTTTTCCTCCTTTCCTTCAAATTAGTGTGCAGCCTAATACCATCCCTTGACTAGCAGCAGAGAATAGTAAGGTTAAAGACTTAGGTTTCAAAGTCCGGGACGAAGGACATTGGGCACTTTCTTGCTTGTTTCCTCTAACACTTTTTCTCTTTAATCAGTATTTGCTACTATTGACAATTTTTTTCTTATAATTAATGTATTTTAGTGTATGAGAATTAGGATATATCCACTCATCCACATTTCCTGGACTAACATTTTTCAGCAGACTGTTCTTTGGCTGAGAGGCTAAGCTGTAGGGTCCAGGCTGATCTAGGTGGTCTCTTGGTTCCACTTCAGCCCTACTTCCACTGCATCATTAGTTTTTAGTCTCTTTGGGGTCTTCTTTCTCACATTTTTGTTGTTGATGTTTTCTCTGTGGGTCTGATTTTAATGGAGTTATGTGTGGGGTTTTTTTTTGTAGGGCCTTTTGTTTGGTTGGTTTTTGTGATGTCTGCCTTGCATTCTTTTATGGAGTTTTTTACTCCTTTTGCAGCTCCTCACTTCCTGTAACGGTGTGCTTTTTTTAAACTACTTTAGGCAGGTGTGCTTCCTTGGCCACTGTTCTCTGGCCTGGCTTCCCATAGGAGTGAATTTATGAATTGCTTTCAGTAGTTGGCAATACAAAAGAAATTAATGGTCATAAAGAATCATAGCTGGTAAAAGACTGCAGACCAGACAGTAAATGGTAGTTACTCTGTGGCCACAGGGAGAGATTAGGACACTACATTAAGGCCAGGATCATGGAGTTCTCTTCACCAGTTCGTATTTCTGGTTTTGTGCTTATTATTGATTTTTAATGCTTACCTAAATGTTATTGCAGCAAAGAGAAGGGTGAGAAAAATTAAGACATTGTTCTAGTTTCTGTTTTAACTTTTCATGAGACTTGTGGATGTGTGAGAATTGTCATCAGAATATTATGTGGACCTCATGAGGGACGAGTGGGTGGCAAGAAGATAGCATGTTATCAACAAGCTGCTTTGCCTTAGTATCAGTAGCATTTATCAGAATAGTTATTAAAAGAAGAAACTCTTAAAAAATTTCACAAGAAATGATTTCTTTTTTCCCCCCATCTTCTTTTGTAGACATTGAAACAAGTTGTTTAGAGGAAAAAAATAAGAGGGATCATTTTACACAACTGGTGTTGGCCTGTTTGGTAAGTTACACCTAGGAAGTCTTTTGGCAAAATTGCATGTCAAAATCTAACAAGAAAAATCAGTGTTGAAGCTTGCTTCTTTTTTTTTTCCCCCCTACGGAATGTTTTCACAAGTGCCCAAATAATTTAAAAATTCATTTTCAAAGTGCAGTTGTAGAGGAATATAGTACAGCTCTCCCTTGAACTCTTTAAGGAGTTTTGAGAGAACTTTAATTTTTCTACCTGTCAGTTCAACAGAAATTTTGCTACTGAAGTATGCTTGGAGTTGCACTTTTCCTTCATGCAACCTCCTTTGTCTTTAGAAGTAGCATTCCTAACCACAGGGAATAAGCTTGATTTGTAGGAAAGTTCAGCATGTGAAAATAAGGCTTTTCTCCAAGAATATGAGAATAAGCCTTTGTAAATATGCAATTCTTGGTAATAATGTCTCCAGATGCTGTGCAATGTATACTTGGTAATCAGCAATTAGACTCTAGGGCTTGTTTCTTCAAGGTGCTCTTGTCTATAAAATCTGCCACTGTAAAATTCCAGTTTTGGTTAATAGTTTGTTTTGTCCACTTCTGTGTTTGAAACAAAATGCTTTTAATATCATGAAATTGTTTTTGTTGTAGTCAGAATGCATATGTAGCCTAAAGTAATAATCATGTGGTTTCTAGGTCTTTGTAATTCACAAATCTGGTGTATGTTCTTGTTGTTTTTTAGTATCTTGTATCTGACACTGTCCTAAAGGAGCGTTTAGATCCAGAGACGCTGGAGTCATTGGGACTCATCAAGCAGTCTCAACAGTTCAATCAAAAGTCTGTTAAAATAAAGACAAAACTATTGTAAGTTTTGGGGCAAAAAGGTTGTTTGGGGAGGGGATGGGGAGGGGCAGTGATAATTAGTGTGGTAATAGTGTTTGTTACCAATGTGTAATGTTTCTTCACAGGTATTCAGTTTTCTTTATGAAATGTATTTGTAACTTGTCATTGACAAAAGAACTTTGTTAGCCCTTAGTTTTCAAACTCTTGAGCAGTATAAAGTCTTCATGTTACCTATGTTTTTGCTACAGTGATTCTACATATGCAGGTTAATACTTAATTTTATTTGACATGTGAACTTAGAAAGTATAAGAAATTTAACTATTTCTATTGCATCAGTTAAGCATAGACTTTTGTTTTCATAAATAAACAAACATAGTTATTTTACTTTATTTGGGCACTATGGGTTATGTTTTTTGGGGAATGTTTGGTTTCTGTCTCTGCATCCAGTGTTTCACTTGAAACTAGAATAGGTCCTTAAGCATGGACTGCTAGAGAGCAGTTCTCCAGTGTAATGTGTAAGAACAAGCTTTCCTGTTAAGTGTAAGCATATTTTAAATGGTCTGCATTTGAAATAAGAGCTGGATTTGTTTGGAGAGTGCTTGCTGCCTTACAGGAATTCGTGTACTGCATTCAGTAGTTTTTGCAATAGCTCAAGTAAATTACAAGTTCTTAAAAATGTGTTCAAAATTAGCATTTTGTATAACAAATTGCTAGAGGCATAAATGGTTCCACTGGATACGTGTTACACAATAGTATTTAATTTCTGTTTATTTGCAGTTATAAGCAACAGAAGTTTAATTTGCTAAGAGAGGAGAACGAAGGTTATGCAAAGCTCATTGCAGAACTGGGTCAAGACTTATCTGGAAATATCACTAGTGATTTAATCCTTGAAAATATCAAATCTTTAATAGGTAAGGAATTTATTGGAAGAGTATGGGCTTTGGTTTTCCTTTATGATCTTATGACTACAGAAAGTAGATCACCTTGGATAGAATTATGACATTTGGAAGTTCCCATTTCTGTGGAAAAATTAATTTTGGGAATGTTGTGTAGGTAAACTTACTTTAGATTCTGAATTTATGGTACGACCTCAAATATGCTGTGATTTCAATTCATTTCAGCAGTATTTTTTGATGAAGTGCTTGTCACCTCAGCAGGCAGATTGGAATGTAACAAAGTAATGCTTTTTGCTATTTAAGGTGCTCAGTTCAATGCATGAATATTCTTTTATTCTTGAAGAAGTTGAATGAGTGATTCCTTATGAAGAGAAATAAGAAGTAGTAAATGTTCTTCCTTTATCTAGTTTTTTTAGTGATTTGTCCATGTTTCTGAGTTGAGTCTTGACGAGAATGTTGCATCAAAGTGCAAAATAAGTTAAAAACTGGAAATACCTGTAATTGCCTGTGTTTTACTGTTTGTTTTAGAATAAAGAGTTCTGTACAATGCAGTATTTATATCGTATTGTGTACTATACAATGCAATGTTTGCACCAGTGCCTGTTTCATATGGTGCCAGTGCAGTAATGGGCAAAAGCTTATCCTGCTATTTTATTAAAAAAAAAAAATAAAATTTCATTTATCACATAATTTTGCCTGAGTGTCAAATCCCTGCAACAACACTACTTGTTTTGGAAGAGATCTAGAGAGAAGGATGGGTTTGCTAGTTATTACAGTAAAAAATACACTCAGGTTGAGGAATTTTGTAACAAGACGTTTTTCTGTCTTCTGGAATTTTAGGAATTGCAAATAGACTTCATACAAAGTGTCAGTTCTTTTAAAGTACTGACTTGCAGTAGGTTCTCGTGAAATGGAAATGTCTTTGGGGGAGGAAAGACTGATGCAGTTATATATCTGCATAGTGGATGTGTCTGGATAAAATAAATAGGTGTAAAATAATTACGGCCTGACTGATTTGTGTGACTGAATGGATATGTGTGCCAGCACAAGGGGAGAGGCAGCAGCCCATGCCTTTTGCTGGCACTGTGGTCTTAGTGAGGCTGGGTTTTTCTTATTAAATGTTCTTCTCAGGGTGTTAATTTCTTTTTCTGTAATCTGGATTGAAAGTCCTGTTTAGTATTTTTGCCTAGTTCAAAATCCAGCAAGGCAAAATCATCAGTGCTGTGTTTATAGATGATCCAGATTATTTTGCTGTTTATAAGTCCAGGCTCAATTTTACCTGAAAAGAATTAATTTTAAAAATTAATACGCTTATATTTTAGAAACAGATTGAAGATGAAAATTAGCAATGTTAAACTTCTCTACTCTGTTCTTCTCCACTAGGATGTTTCAACCTTGATCCTAACAGAGTTTTGGATATTATCCTAGAAGTCTATGAGTGCAGGCCTGAGTATGATGACTTCTTTGTACCACTGATTGAGTCTTACATGTACATGTGTGAACCTCAAACTCTATGCCATATCCTTGGGTTCAAATTCAAATTTTATCAGGTAATATATTTCCATTCTTAATTTTTGGGTTTGGTGGTTGGTTATACACAATGTTGAACTGCAGTCAGTGATAGGATGTTTTCTGCAGATTTTTAATTAGTAAAATTCCAGTATTAAAAGCAATAATGTCATCATTTGAGTCGGAAGTCTCTTATAGGATAGTGCTTAGTGTTCCCTAAAAGAGCTGAAAACAATCCTGATGTCTTCCACTTGAACTTGAGTAGCTATATAAGGACTGGCATGAACAAAGAGATTGTACCTTATAAACAAAAGACTTGTCCCTGAGAGTGAAGAGCATGTTTGCAGGGGAGTCATGGTTGATATTTGATAAAATATTCAAGGTTCTTATTTAAATGTATAATTCTCAATTGCATGCAAGCACCACTGTAAGGTGTGATGAAAGTTGAATGTTTTTGTTTCTGAAAATACTGATTGTGTATCGCAGTCAGTCCAATGGGTTTGGAGAAACAGCAGTTAAATAACATGAAAACAAGGAGAACTGCAGGTTAATGTTCACTCATCTGAAGTTTGAGTGGTTTCTTTTCTGTTTCATAACCTTTTGCAGTGGTCTGATTGCTTTTTTTCTTGAATTTGCAATGTTGTCCTTTTTAGGATCCGAGTGGTGAGACACCTTCCTCCTTATACAGAGTTGCTGCTGTCCTTTTGCAACATAATCTCATAGAGTTGGAAGATCTTTATGTTCATGTAAGTGACAGTACTACCCTTGTCAAATGCCAAAGCTAAGGACATTAAGAAAACCCTATTTCTAAATCTTCAGATTCACGGCATACTGTTTCATGCCTTTGTATATACAATATTTAATGTCTTTTAAAATTTTCAGTGCTTTCTAATAAGCACACACTGAAGTATAAATGCTGATAAACTTTATTTGAATTATTTATGTAACATTCTCCAGATTGTTTACCTCCTGGCTGAATAGGTCAGTAACCCAGTAATTTTCCTTAACAATCTTCCTTAAGAATTAGATCCTTTGAGTTTTGCTTTACAAGATCAGTTTTTGAAAAAAGCGGTAGGACAGTTGGCTCCTAACATTCTTTGTTTAGTTTAATAGTAGGATTATTTTTTTTAAGCTCTTGCATGTTCCTGAATAGGTCTCTCATTCTCCACAAGAATCTTGACCATTTGTTAGGTTGAAAGAGAGAGTTATATGTTCAGATTTAATCAGAGAGACTTATCCTCTGCAGTCTGACAGTCAGACATCACCCAACCACCATTCCAATTTGACAGATGACAGACAGAATGTTACAGTTATCAAATTAATTTTACATTATACAAGAATTTTAAATTCCAGAATATCCATAGATATTTCAAGATTAGGTATTTTAAGACTCAACTCTTGCACTGAAATCAAGGAAACGAGCTCTAGTTAGAGCTGTGGAAGTTTTGGAAGGTAGTCCTGCCATTAATTTGTGTGGCAGTTCATAGCATTAGTCAGAGTCTGATTGGTCAATAACTGTCGAGTATTTTGGCTAAAAATGTGTTGGGTGGAGCAAGAGTAGGAGTGCACGTCTCAGATAATTGGTGTGGAGGGAGGAATGTGTGATGATAATGCTTGTTTGTTCAGGAATGTTTGTAAGCTTACAGAACATGCTCAGACTTGGGGTGAGAGTGGCCTGTGCAATCTCAGCTCAGACTGTGCAGGTGAGGGCACGTCCTCTGACAGTCCCACAGCTCATGTGCACTGTTCACCTGAGTGATGGGGATTCTCAGTCTTGTTCCAGAATCTCTCTGCCATGTCTCTGTGTCTGTCCATGTTTGGGATGGCATATTTTTTTATCTGTTTCCAGTTCAGGCTTAGTTTAACTTGCTGTGAGTTTCTAGAAAATAATTAGCACGTAGGTGTTGAGTCTGAAGTGGCGCATGTTGTGTGACTGCTGTACAAGAGCACTGTGGGATTATTGTTCATATCCAGAATATTCTTCCCATCTCTACCCTCCCTCCAAAGCCTGTAAGAACTGTTCTCTTCAGCCCTGTAGAATATGTATTGCATCCTGAAGACACAATTTACCCATTGAAATTCTGTACTAGATGTTTCTTGGTGAATCATAGTAGGTTCCCTGTGTTTTCAAATGAGAAAGTACAGCTCTTTAAACCTTCTACCTTTCCAAGTGGTTTTTTTTTCTTGCCCAAATTTCTGTGAAGTGTAGGAATTCTACTGTCTTCCCTTTTCTCATCAGTTTGAGGAAAGAAAAAACAGTAAAAAATCCTTTGTTAAAAACATTAAAAGAAAAGATCATTGTGTCAAAGAGGTCATGACTCTGCAGGAAGTTTTGATTACTTGTTTGCAGTTAAGTTTGAGCTTGGTTTTAGGAAGTAAATTAAGGTTTGGCTTTGTCAGAAAAAGAACTTTTCTTTTGTCTTGGACTTTTAATATTTGAGTGTGGGGTTACATTCCTCACCCTGATCATTCTCAAGTACAAGATTATGCTGAGGTCTTATACTAGGTACTTCTTAATCTAAGATGGTTTTTAAAGAGCAGATGGTACATGTGTTTAACCCACATTGCTGATAAACAGAAAATTTAGTCAGCTTTAAATGGTATTCCTTTAAAGGGGCAGTCAGAATGTGTGGCTAAGTAGGTTATCTGGTTTTCCTTGGGGATTAAATTTTTTTTTCTTTTAGATAAGCAAGTGAAAATTCATGCTTTTGAATATTCACTTGGTTTAAAGGCACTGAATTGGGTCAGTCTTATCATGGAATCTGTGGGAAACTGTTGCCCCACAGCTACAGCTGAACGGTGAATTGGGGAGGGGAACAGAAGCTTGGACAACTCATGGTTGTGAAGAAATAGAGCAGTATTATTTCTCATGAGTCCTTGATTTTAGAATAGTCTCTTAAATGGTGTAATTCCCTGTTGGGATGATGGTAACAAGGAAAAGAAGCTGATTCCCTGAAAGGCAATCTGATTAGTAACAAGGAAGGACAGACTTCTGCTTTGAGCTCAAGTGATCCAGAGCAGCACTAGGTCACTTCAGTTTTCAGATATATTTGTTCTGTTTTTTCAGCTTCTGCCAGGGGATAATGCCATCATGGAGGAACACAAGCGAGAGATAGTGGAAGCTAAACAAATTGTCAGAAAACTTACAATGGTTGTCTTGTCATCTGAAAAGACTGAGGAAAAGGAGAAAGAAAAGGAGAAAGAGGAGGAGAAAACCGAAAAGGTGTGTATCTGAGTAACTTTCTTTTCAGTAAAATGATTTTAAATTGCATTAAACTAAACAAACTAATTGTTCTGAAAACATTTTTGTATTTACTTGAAAGACAGTTACGTACTTCTTGGATGGCTTGTCTGTCCTCTGACTGCATTTCTGTTATATGGAATGTGCAAAAATGCATGCTTTGGGGTTTGTTCTGGATTTCTCTATGTTTAATATTCTTGATTCAGTGAGTAATTTTTTCCTCCCTTTTTATTGTGTCAGTATGTCCCAACATTCATACACTTCACAACCTTTAACAACTGTGTTTCTAGGACCTGTGGAAGTATAATCCTAGTTGATTTCACAAAAGGAAGGACATTAGTGAGAGTTTATTCCTTATTTCTCTCAATGAAGAATTGGGATGTAAGGAATTGCCAGACTTAGGAATGTTGGTATAATTACCCTGCATTGTAGAAAATGGTTGTAGTTGAACATTCTTAATTGTAACTGTTCGTTGTACTTTACTTTAAATCTATATTTAAATTTATATTATACTCTTTATTTAAGTTCCTACTGTGTCATATTAATGTTGCCCTAGGTCTAATTTGCTTCGGTGTGCAAGCCTTACTTTAGAAACAAAATTATTTAATCTCTTAGCGACCTTTCTGTTGTCATGATCATTTGAGTGCCTAAGTAGTTCTCAAACATCTTACTTAAAACAAAAAGAGTAAAATAAAAGTTTGGTATTTGCATTTTGTAAGTGGCATACTGGAGTGGAAGGAGGGCTCCATCAGTCTTGATAGTTTCTGTTCTTGATTTTCTGTATCCTCCTTGATTCTATTAATCTCTGACCTTTCTCCCTCCTTCCATTTTTCTTGCCTAGCTTGAAAAATCTAATTCCATTTTCTTCCCTCAGGCAGCTGATACAGTTACTCTCTCTGGCTCTCAACTGCAGCCACAGCTGCTGCTTAAACTGATTCCTTTCACTGGCTTTAAGTTTCTCACTTATACTACATTGCTTTGGTCCACCTTCTCTGCAGTCAAATGGGGCTGCCTGGAATTCTCTGAAGTGTGCTTGTCACCATGATCTGATGGAAAAATAAACTCTTGATGGGACATGGGGAGCGAATGTATTGCAAGTGGTGTCAGAAGAATTAAGACAGTTTTTATGGCTAAGCTTTAGAATTAAGAACTAGGGAATTTTAAGCTGTAGCAGAAACTGCAGCATTTTTCAGAAGGATTAAAATGACAAATAACAAAGTCTGAACCTGTGTGATGGGAAAATTAAGAGCTGTACTTAACAAAAAACAATTTCTCTGACTGTAGACACTGTTATGCAATGCATGCTGTTTCTTGAAAAGCTTGTTCTGTGTTAGAAGTATTTTTGTATGTGCTTAGCTGTGCACTTCATAGCAATTGGTGGAGTAACTACGTGTGAAGGCTGTTGACAGTTTAAATTTAGGTACTTTGTATCTAGTATGTCATTTCAATGTACAGTTTCTGAGACAGTACCATGGAATAAATGCCTGGGTAAGGAAAGCAGTGTTTAACAATAACTGACATGACTTTTCTTTTAAATCCACAAAGTGCTTATTTTTATGTGGTTAAAATTCATTATTGTCTCATGACTCTAATATGAATAATTTAGTGTTGATAAATGTGTTCTCTGCTTTGGCCTTTTAAGACGCATTTGACATAACTGTATAATAGGGAGACAGGGAGAGATCAGGACACCTGGCAGCATGGCTGGGTTTGGCAGCATGGCTGGGTTTGGCAGCACTTCCAGCCTGACCCTTCTGTGCCAGGCCTCTGTTGGCTTTTGGAGAGCTCACGTCAGAAGAGCCTGTTTACCTAAGAGAGGCCCACTCGAGCAGCCTGTGTGTGTGTGAGCAGTGCCTGCTGTAGCACATACAGCCTAGAGAGACTTGCACTTAAATCTAGAGTCTCCTGGAATAGTTGCTAATGTGAAACTTCTGGTGCAGGCACACTAAGAGACAGGGAAAGGGTTTGGGGTTGATTCGGCTTTTTTTTTTTCTTTCTATTTTAATCTGCTTTTGCAAGAGAAATTTGTGCTTTTAAATCCAGAAAACCACACAACATAAAGGATTCTTAAATGCTTGCATTGTTCTTAAAATGTCTTGTAAAGAAATAAGCTGCAATAGATTGTGATGGTTTGAAAAGTACATGATCAGACATATGTCAGGCAACTTCATAAATTCCTGTTTTAAATTTTATTTTTAACTTTCTTTTTGATCCAGATCTTATATTCTACGTGGACTGGTTTATTATTTCTTTTGAAGTTTGCTTATTGTCTAAATGTCTGGCTGGATTTTATTTTGCACGGTTTTTCATTACACAGCTGAAGTACTGGTTTTTTTCTTCTCTAGCTCTGGATCGCAGCTGCTTAAAGAGAAGTATTAGAAAGACTTTATGAATATACTTTTCCTTTATTATCTTGCAGCCTCCTGATAATCAAAAGCTTGGCTTATTGGAAGCCTTATTAAAAATTGGTGATTGGCACCATGCACAAAGTATTATGGATCAGATGCCTCCCTTTTACACTACTTCGCACAAGCCGATCGCGGTTGCCCTTTGCCAGCTCGTCCATGTGACAATTGAGCCTCTGTACCGCAGGTAAAGGGAAGACCAGAGTTCTGTATAGGGGAAAACGATTTCTTTACAAGCATGAATTCACTAATAAACCTAATTATTGATACATTTCTAAAATTTTCACTTCTATTTTCATGTGAAATGCTGCATGTCTTATTTTTCAGAGTTGGTGTACCTAAAGGAGCTAAAGGGTCACCGATTTCTTCTTTGCCAAACCAGAGAGCACCAAAACAAGCAGAGAGCTTTGAGGAATTGAGAAAGGAAGTGTTCAACATGCTTTGTTACCTTGGTCCTCATCTGTCCCATGATCCCATTTTGTTTGCAAAAGTAGTGCGCCTTGGAAAAGCATTTATGAAAGAGGTTGGTATGACACAACAGCTGGTCCAAACTTGAAAAATACCAGTTATTCTGATGTCAAAAAATGCTCGTGTCTAATAATTGTGTAGGTATTCGAATGATAAAACAGAAAAAATTTCTTTGACTTTAGACGAATTTGGAGAATCTTACAAATTTTTTGATCATTTTTATGATCAATAAACATTTTTATGAACAACTTAAGGCACTTTGAGTTTATGAGAAAACCCTTGTTTCTGTGGATATGTACAGTGGAATTGAGATTACTTGGCTATAGGAATCTCTTGTGCAGGTTTACTGTAAATCTATTTATATAGTAGTTTAATATGTTTCTGACAAGAATGAGCAACATTTTAGCTATTTGCTCTAGGTTGGAACTGTGAAGAAATTCGTCAGTGACAGAGTGGTTAAGGTAACATAGGGAAAGTTATTTTTAATGCACTGTTGCCATCAGCATGTTCTAGTTGTGAAACTACATTTAACACACAGTAGAAATAACTGGAGGTAATTTGACTGTGAGTTAACCCATACAGTAGTTTAAAAGTTAGACTACTAACATTGCACTGCAGCTTTCATGCTTAAGTGTACCTTTAAAATAATCGTGCACTTACTGGTGTGATAGCTTAATATGCTTTTCATGGTGAGTGGAGCAAGAAGAGCAAAAAAAGTAATTTAATAATGAAGACTAAAAGCTTAAGAGAATGTTACTGTGAGAGAAAGGTGGGGAAATAGTCTGTGGCTGTTGATAATTGCATTCGAAGTCCTGAGGTTTTTTAGGTAGAAGGTGAATGCTTAGGGCATTTTTTTTCCTCTCTCCAGTAAGAAAATTCAGATTTTCATATATAATAGCAAGTTTCCATGTAGTTTCAGTTATCATCTCTTTTTGGACAAAACTGTGCAAAGTCCCTATATGTCTAAGGAATGCATTTCATCTATGGATTTGAATTTCCGTTTAAAAATATTTTAATGCTGACAGATCTGGCAAATTAAACACTTAATATATGCGTGGCCCTGCAGGTTTGTGCTTTTGCTGAAGTAGCCCTTGTTCTGAAACTGCAACTGTTGTGTTAACTGTGCTACAATTAACGTGTCTTTATTATAGTTTCAGTCTGATGGAAGCAAACAAGAAGATAAAGAGAAAATGGTGAGTTTATTTTGGAGGAAGGTGTTTTTATGGAAGATTGTGATTGTGACCAAATGTTTAACAGCTGTGTGACACCTCTGTAAAACTCGATAGAGTTTAATGCTTTAATAAAGGTATTGACTTGTCTTGATTTTTTTTTTTTCTTAAAGGTAAATACAGTCTAGTATCAGGGGTTTGTTTTTATTTCTGTCCTTTTTTTTTTTTTTTTTTTTCTTTCTCCCTGCATTCCTCAGATCTAATCTTATTCTCTTTAGTCTGTACATCTTACTTCTTTTCTCAGAATCTGCTGGAGAACCTCCAGCTATTTATTCTGTAAATACACTTTTCATGGTATCTAAAAGAATTTACTAGGGAAAGCGGAGAGAAAAAGAGAAATTGGAAGTAGTGGAGGTGTTTATTAGTATAGTGGTTATTTTTTTAACTTGGTTAATTTATTCTAAATTGTTTAAGTTATTGAATTATCAAGATTGTTCACAAGTGTCCAGCTGAAATCTAACTTAAGAAAAAACAAGTTTTTGTTTTTTTCTTAAATCAAGAAGTGAGTTTTCAATATGAAGCTTATGCACTTTTCATTATTACTTGTTCCTCTTCTTTCTCACTTAGCATAATTTTCTGTCTTCCTGAATAATTGCAGAGAAAATTAGTCTCTTCAGGGTTTTTCACTTTTTGTTTTTCTTTTTTTTTTTTTTGCTACAGTTATTATAAAATAGCTCAATGCAAAAGAGAAATGTTTAGGAAAGTGTAAAGATGGGATACTGATAATATGGAAATTGGTACTCTATCTGCATTGCATGCATAACATTCCTTCTGAGGCAATTCCTTGGGAGTTACCTGGAGTTTTTTGTTTCTCTCAGGAGACGCTGTTCAGCTGTTTGTTGAGTATCACCGATCAAGTCTTGCTTCCATCCCTTTCTTTGATGGACTGCAATGCATGCATGTCTGAGGAATTATGGGGGATGTTCAAAACTTTTCCATACCAGTACAGGTGGGTAGAATAATTAGTTTCCACTCCTTGGAATGATCCGTTGAATTGTCAGTACTGAAATGAGTTTTCCTTTATAATCTTTGAAGGTACCGCCTTTACGGGCAATGGAAGAACGAAACGTACAACAGTCACCCACTCCTGGTGAAAGTTAAAGCTCAAACCATAGACCGAGCCAAGTATATCATGAAGTAAGTAGTCTGTTCCCATAAATAGTTGGGAACTGTGATACAATGTACTGCATGTCACCAGCTGAAGAAAAAAGAACTTTATAAATACATTCGCTTTCTAATGACTCTGTAATTTCACTGATAGTCCTTGTTCATGAAGTATTTAATGTTACTGTTGTTAAAAAATGCCAAGGAAGCAAGGATACAGACAGATTTGTCACCAACAAGGATATTTAATCTATGAGAAATGTCCTATGAAGTGATTTAAAACTTTTTGCATGGGTATGCTATTGTTTCATAAGTTATTTTGCTTATGGAAATATAAGAGTGCAACATATTTTCTCTGAGTATGGAGACTCTTTCATCCAAAGAGTCTCAAAAATCTTGTTGTGGTTTCTGTAGGTTTGGATGTAGGGCAGTAAGTTGAACAAAGTGATTAATTCTCATCTTCAAGTGGGCTCACAGCAATTTCAGATTTACCTCATGTTTAATGTCTCTGACATTGTCAGGAATTTGGGTTCTGCATTTGTTGTTGCCGAAAGCAGATGGTGTGGTATTATAATGTGGATAATCAGAACCTCTCTACATAGGCAAGACAGTAGTAGTTACTGGATTGGACTTGGAGCTGTGAAAGCTAGAAACAGTGATTTTGGTTCCCTTCTAACTTGCTGCATAGACCGTAAAACTTTCCCTCCCTTCCCTTGTGCGGTGGATTTTGATTGTGCAAGTGTAACACAAAGAAATTATTATTGGTTTTCAGTGATCAGAATGCAACAAATATAAAATGATCTGTGGCTAAATTAAATTTTCAGGAGAGATTAGGATCACATGGTAGTTTTGTATGTGGTGCAGGTTTCACTGATGACTTCTGAAAGCGAAGTGCTCCAAGGTGAAACTAGAATATGGCCCATAGTAATACAGGGACAACTGGTGTGGTTGTACCATCTGAATCTTGTGGGATTTTCAATTTCTGATTCTCAGAGGAGTAGTATTTCTGTGTTTACATTTCTTGAAAACACACCTGCTCGTGAGAATTAAATCTCTGAGGCTAATAAAGGTGTTTCTTCACTGGAACTAACCTGTTGTTTTAATATTCTTTTAGCTTGTTCATTGCAATAAAATGTGTTCTCTTTTACAGGCGTTTAACTAAGGAAAATGTGAAACCCTCTGGGAGACAAATTGGGAAGCTCAGCCACAGCAATCCTACAATTTTATTTGATTATGTATGTAGTAACATGTATTTGAATACTATTTCATACTAACAACAGATATTGAAGTGCAGGAAGGGACCTGCAGTTCTGATTTCAATATTTTTTACTTCTGATGCAAATTTTAACATCTAGTAATTTTTTAGTAGTGCACAGGTCTGAGATATGTTTCACTGCTATCTTAAGGTACCAGAAATGAATGAGATCATCTATCAGCTTTGACAGTGGCTTATGATCTTCTGAAATATGAATTTCAAAGCATGTTTTCTGTAGGTTTTGATGACAAATATTGTTAAGTGGTTTTATGTGTGAACGATACCAAATACTGTCCATGTTCAGCTCCATGTCTTTTGTAACTTTCAGATCTTATCACAAATACAAAAATACGATAACTTAATAACTCCGGTCGTTGATTCATTGAAATACCTCACTTCACTGAACTACGATGTCTTGGCTTGTATCCTTTAATAGAAATCAATACATTAGTTATTGATAAAGCTGCAGTTGTAGCCAGATTAAATCTGTTGTCTGTAAGTAAATACCTTCTGTTGCTTTCTATTCTCGTTGCTTTTTGCTGGAAATTTTAGTGAGGTTTGCAAATACCTTTGCACTTTTAGTGGATTATGGAACCCTCTCTAATTCTTTCACACTGGGAAATTATTGTTTATTTTTAAGGGATTTTCCTTACTTTCACTCTGGTCTTGAAGGCATAACGATCTTGTAAATAGTAAAGTAAATACTGCTTTGAAGTTACTATATCTTTCATGGTTTCATATTTTTATACCATAACTATGTTAGTGGATCTCCTATATCATGCTTTCTATGCTTGCCTATCATGTTCATATATTACAAATTGTGGAGCCGGAAAAACAGATCTGTGTATCTTTTGTTTTTATAAGTTGAGGAAAAATATTGTCTTTAACTCCACTAAAGATTGTATCATTGAAGCACTGGCAAACCCTGAAAAGGAGAGAATGAAGCACGATGACACTACGATCTCGAGCTGGCTGCAGAGTTAGTATTCTTGGTTTATTTATTACATTAATGTTTAAAATGCTTTACCCTCACTATGATCTACTATACCATTGATCACTATGATCAATATTTCACTTGCACTGGTTAATCTTTTAAACAAAATGGAGAGCTGGCAAATTTAATCAATAGGAAAATAGCGTTTCCTTTGTAATGCAGAAATGCATTTATGGCTAACGTCCCATATGCACTTTGTTAATGTTTATTTAATGCTTAGTATCCCATGAGGTACAACCACAGCTGTTTCTCTCTGGTTTAGGTCTGGCAAGCTTTTGTGGTGCAGTTTTCCGAAAATACCCAATTGAACTTGCTGGTCTACTGCAGTATGTAGCCAACCAACTGAAAGCTGGGAAAAGGCAAGTCTTGCATAATTGATCTTTATAAATTCAATTTTTATAATGTATTATTTGTGCATTTACTGGTATGTGGGCACTCGATGAAGTAGTTGCTCTACTAGTGGTAAAATTGCATTACAGTAACTGGGAAGGTTAAGAAATTTAAATAGTGGAAAGAATAATGTCCTCTTTAGTACACTTCTCCTCTAATTGTATAGCTGTGACATTTTTGAAGTATTCATTTTTCATCTGTAACTTACTTTAATAGTTTTTTTAACAGCTAACCAGATGGGGAGAGAACCTGCCAGTCTGTAATTTTATCATAGGAGTTATTGTACATTGTTTAAAAAACAAGTATCCAATATAAAGGAGTATGACCGTTACAGTTTTAGTTTTTCCTTTCTCATAATGTCTTCTCTGTAGGGACTGCTCTTAACATCTTATTTAAATACTTTATCCAATGTATTTAGTGGCAGTTGGCTTGCTTCTTCATATGCCAGTGTAAATCATAACTCAAAAAATACTTTTAAACAAGGTTTGCAACTAAAATTTTCCTTTTGTCTTTCCATTGTCATCACTTATATTATTGTTTCATTTACTTATTTAATTTTATCACATAGGTGATTATCAACCTTTTTTCTAGTAGGAATCCCCATATGGTTATTGAAAGGTAACTTACCAATGCTGATAACAGGGCGTGTTATTTTAGGGTATTTTTGTTGAGAAATCTAGTTTTTTCCCCTTCCCTGCAATGTAGACACTCAGTCTCATATGCTCCCCTGTCCCTAATTTGTTTTGTTTTGATGATGGTACAACCACATTGAGCTACAGAGGAAGGGTAAGTAATGTTTATTGTCTTTCCCCTGAATTAAGACTTCAAGTATTTGGGGGAAAAAAAAGTCGGTTTAGTACTTGGGATCATAAAAATAAAATGGATTTACCAGTAGGACCAATTCCATAGAACTGCAATATTCAGGTATTTGAATTGGAGTATATCCTGGTATTGCATATTTCCTAGACAAAAACCATGCTAACCATGTTAGGAATAGCAAACAAAAATGTAAGCCATATAAATTATTTAAATATAAAGCTTTGTTTTGGAGGGCATGGGTCAATGATTTTTATAAGCAGGTCACACAAATCTCAGAAGTTACTGGAAAACGTTTCTCAGTTGTGTGGTTGTGATACAATTTACTATGCTTGTGTTGAGGAAAGGTCATTGTCCTTATGGAATTCAGAGTAGGAGATAAAGCCTAGTCTCTGGACAGGATGATTATTGGAGTGTGTTTTGTGTGTTGTGTATGTTAAATAAAAGAAAACAGTTTTCTGTCTTTCCAAATAACCTTCCCAGGCTAACTTTCCCAGTACATTTCTAAGGCTGTGTACTGGTTTAGAAACTTTTTAGCAAAATAAGAAAATATTCCATGTTCATGAAATAACTGTATAGATACACTTTGAAACATGGCAGACAACGAAAGGGAGCAATAAACTTTATGATTAATTTGATGATACTTAAAAGTTAATAGCACCATGTTCACTATCATCTTCAAAAACAATGAAGTAACTGTTCTAAAGGGGTTCTAAAATCCAGCTGCTGAATTACCTGCATTGCTTTTAAGTACTAACTTTTTACTTGCAGTAAAGAAATCCTTGTGCTCAACATACTAGTTTCTTCTTCAAAAAGAAGGAAAATTTTGTTTTAACGTGCACTGTAATGTTGCTTTGTAATGTGTATTGAATGTCATAGCTTCCATTTCTTAAACAAATTGTCTTGTTTTTACTCCACTTTTTTGTTTTCTGTGCAGCTTCGATTTGCTTATTTTAAAAGAAGTTGTACAGAAAATGGCAGGGATAGAAATTACTGAAGAAATGACAATGGAACAGTTGGAAGCCATGACTGGTGGAGAACAACTGAAGGCTGAGGTGTGTTCATGTTAAATAGAATAATAGCTGTTGCTAGTTAATGGTGGTTCTATGAGCTCTGGCAGCATGGCTGAGAAAGGTGGTGTGCTTTCATCAGAGAGTTTCCCCCTCCATTGAGCTTACAAGGCTTGAGACAGGCAGCCAAGACAGGGCATGTGAACCTGAACTGTGCATCACACATCCTGTTAACAAGACAGGGCAGGCCTGTGACCTGCAGCAGGCAGTGAGCTGGGATGTGGTGCCATCCCTGGGACAGCCCTGCTCTGGGGTGAGCAGCTCCCTGGGGAGGGGAGCAAAAGAACTAGTTAATAGCAAGCAGCACTCGTTAGTGTCTGATTCTTCTATCCATATATTGCAGTACAAGACCCAGGGAGTTTTACTGATGGACAGGAAACTGATGTTAATTCATCAGTATTCCTGCAGTCAGCACACATGAATTCCATTTGTGAGGCATCATTTTCAAACTTGGGTAACTTCTTCTGTACTGTGCAGGGTGGATACTTTGGCCAAATCAGGAATACAAAGAAATCATCTCAGAGATTGAAAGATGCATTATTGGACCATGATCTTGCCCTCCCACTGTGCCTACTTATGGCTCAGCAGAGAAATGGTGTGATCTTTCAAGAGGGAGGGGAAAAACATCTGAAACTGGTGGGAAAGCTGTATGATCAGGCAAGTAAAACCACTTGTGTTTATGAGAACCCCTCCTTTTTGTTAACTTCTAGTATATCAGCACAATATATAAGAATTCAGCACATAAAAATATCTATTTATATGTAAGAATTCAGTACAATGAATATATAAGAATTTTAAAATTAATTGCAGTGGTTGTATTACTAAAGTACATGAACGTATTAAAAATATATTATATTGACAAGTGACTTCCGAGTAAAAGATGAAAGCATCCTTTGTCATAAAAACTTAAATTCTTTTCTGAAGTTGTCCATCATATTTTTCTGATCTTACTTTGGTAGTGGAACTTCCTTTTTTTTTTTTAAAAGAATGCTTTTGCTACCTTAGGCAGTAGGAAGTAGTTGCATTCCATTGTGGTAGAACAGAATGCTCTTATAGAGTTCTACTGGCCTTAAAATTCTTGCTCTCCTGTGTGGCATTGGAAAAAAACCCCAAGCTTTCAAACTCTCCCTAACTTAATTTTTGAACAAAATAATACTGTTTGCTAACTTTTTGTATCTTTTCACTTGTAGTGCCATGACACCCTGGTACAATTTGGTGGGTTTTTAGCATCCAACCTAAGCACAGAGGATTACATTAAGCGAGTGCCTTCTATCGATGTTCTGTGTAACGAGTTTCACACGCCTCACGATGCTGCGTTTTTCCTCTCAAGACCCATGTATGCACACCACATTTCAGTGAGTACAACCCTTCCGTTTGTCTGCTTTCGGTGTTGCACAGCTAGGTGTTACCAGCAGATATGTTAGGTTCCTGATAAAATTTGCTAAATAAAACTTACGAAGTTTTATGAGTAGAGTTAGAAATAGAAGCTGTCCTCAATCTTCTTAGAAAATGCAGCCCACATGTCAACTTTCATACAACTGACAGAAGTTGTAGCTAACAAAGTCACCTTTTCTGATGTCTTGGGTTGTCAGTAGGAGTTCTCTCCCTCCGTATTCCCCCAAAGATGTAAGTTCTTCTGCAGGTGTTCTAGATGGATTTTTGCTGTGGAGGAAAGTGTTGCAACTGCCAAATGGTGTGGTAACTCAGAAAGTGTCAGAAATAAATTTGCTCCTTCATCTAAAATGCTAAATATGGAGAGCAGATTTTCCTTGGTGTAGTGTAATTCGTTACTATAACAACAGGTAGCAGCATCAACGAAGACAGATGAACACTTAAAGTTCTGTGTGATGTTCTTCAGTGCTTTATGTACATAAATGACATTGCATGTGTGTAAATGTTATACAGAAAGGTTTCTGAGAAAAGCTAAATTATATTGCTAAAGTTTAGATTTTGGTTGTGTATATAGATTACAGTTTATTTTTCATGTTTTCTAATCCACAGTCAAAGTATGATGAACTAAAAAAAGCAGAGAAGGGAAATAAACAGCAGCACAAAGTTCACAAATATATTACATCGTGTGAGCTGGTGATGGCTCCTGTTCATGAAGCTGTGATTTCTCTGCACCTCCCCAAAGTTTGGGATGACATCAGCCCTCAGTTTTATGCCACATTCTGGTCTTTGACAATGTATGACCTTGCCGTCCCACATAGCAGCTATGACAGAGAAGTCAATAAACTTAAAGTCCAGATGAAAGCCATAGATGACAATCAGGAAATGGTATGTTGATACAATTTTGTGGTCCAGACTTTCTTTTCATGAAGTATTATATTGAGGTTGTTTAGATCTGGGAGGTTTTGTCACCTGGTTCATCCATGCTGATTTGTCACATTAACATAATTTGTATTTCTTTATAATTCCCATGTTAAAAGTACCAATGACTCCACTTAGTGAAAATTACTAGAAAATCTCTTTCAGAAAGCAGTTCTTGACACCTGTATCTGTGGGTTGTCTGTTTGCTTTTATCTTTAGTCAGCCAGCGTTCATAAAATCAGTTGATTACTAGAGCAGAACACTATTGAGTGAAATGGGAAGGTTTTCAAATATTCTTTAGTGTTACTGGGAACTTGTTGCTCTGTCTATAGCAAATGTTAGTATAAGAGTAAATGAGTTATGTTGACATTTTGTAGCCTCCAAATAAAAAGAAAAAAGAAAAGGAACGTTGCACAGCTCTGCAGGACAAGCTCCTTGAAGAGGAGAAGAAGCAGTTGGAGCATGTGCAGAGAGTTCTACAGAGACTGAAACTAGAGAAAGATAACTGGCTTCTGGCAAGTAAGTGTGTCCAGGGGAAATGCTATGGATGTTTTTGTAGTTATCACTGTCCCCAGAATTTGCTTGCACTAATAGCCTTAATGGTTATTTGAAAATTTGATCTCTTTATATGTGAGGTCCGTTAGCAAGGTAAATTTTTAGCTAGAACATAATGTGTCTGTGCCAATGCTGAGGTTTTCAGAGAGGTGTTTTGTTTATTTCTTGCCATGTCAAGAGCTTTTAAATATTGCATTGATTTAAGCAGTAAGTAAGAGATTGACCAATTCAGTGGAAGGTTGTAATTGCAAGCTGGCTTGTACTTGCTAACTGCAGTTAGAATGCTGCTGAGTTAGGATAATGGCTACTTTACAAGAAATAGGCACGTAGAATCTCAGTAAGTGGTTTGAGTTAACTTATTTTGAATCCTGTGATTAGGAGCAATATGCCAGTGTTTGGGCAGCAGCATAAGCCATGTTCCAATGTCAAGATAAGTATTGTGGCAGCATAACAGCACCACACAGCAAACCAGCATGCACGTGTTTCATATGGCAGATATGCAGGAGGCAGAACCAAGTTTTTTCTCCTACAAAGCCTCTGTAATGTTTCATGTTGATTGTGAACTCTGCTTGATATGGTTAATCTGAAATGTTTTTCTCTGGTCAGTTTTCTTCTCTGGATGAACTTTGAGTTTGTAACTGGAAGTAGTAGTTCGTCTGTCCCAAGAAGCCTAGCGTAACCCAGTGGAAAAGAGTTTTATTGTCCGACTCGTGTAAGATCCACCCAACTGATTTAATGAAGAAACACTGACAATTAAATCAAGAGAAGTTATTCCCTATAAATGTTTAATGTACTGGTGTGGACAGCGAATGAGCTTCGTGAAATTGCTGGTTGAAAAATTACTACCTGACTAAAGCTTGGTCTAGAGCTTACGTGGTAAATTTGTCTACTTAAGGAAGCATCTGAAAGGATGTAGAAAATTGTGTAGATATGGTCTGTATGTAAACACATACTCTTCATAGTACAAGCATTTGTGGGATACTGGGAATAGCTTATTGTTGGCTCTCGAGTGCTCAGGCTTCAGCTGCAAGAAGTTTCCCAGTATTGTATCCAGAGACAAACTTACTATTTCAGCAGTTTCCCTACAGAAATAAATAATCTGTAATTGTAGTATATGAGGAAATTGAACAGCACATCCACTGTAGTAGTGGTTCTTTATTATTACTTTTAAAAATTATTACTATTTAATTAATTTTTTAAAGACTGGCTTCTTGTGTAGAAAGTTTTGATAGAGTGTTTGTATCATTAAGAATAGGTTAATTTTTGGCAGAATAAGAAGACTGGTACCTTAAACAGTTGGAGACTGGCTGCTCTGACTGACTGCTTACTTTCTTTATTTGTACAATTTTTGAAGTAACACTCGATTGTTCTGTGAACTGTGGTTCTCTTCATATATTTTTTTTGAAGTGCCAAAGGTTTGTTACAACCTTTGAGGAGTAGATACTAAAATTAAACGAACTTAACATGAAGTTTTTAGTTAGTAAAAGCTGACAGTCCTTTCTTGAACAAGTTTTATTCCATGAGCATCACAAAATCGAAGCTAGTAAATCCTGGTTATTAATGATTTATGACCTGTGCAAAACCACCAATTGACCTCATGAGGATCATGGCTGTTCTTCCCTCTGAAGGCATCCCAGTCTTCAGTTCCATGCTTTCATCTGTATATTTTATTTCCAACCTTCCTTCTGTGCTGCACATCCCTCCTAGTTTGTTTTTATGCTCCTCTTTGCCATTTGAGGACCAGTTTGGGAATGTGTTTGGCTATTGAGTTTACCAACTAGTGATCTGTCAAAGGGAAACAGGTAACTCAAGCACACAGTGCAGTCTTTTACTCAGCGCCAGAATGAAACTTTCACAAAATGTGTGTATTGGGGTAGTGGTTTACTGAAGACTGTTCCTCTTTAAATTCCTCTAATTGATTGATTGGAAAAATGATTCTTAATGGATTCTATATAGACAGCAAGTTCTTCAGTTTCTAAGGAAACGGAGCTGAAAGTCAGCCCTATCTAGAAAGGTGAAAGCAAATGTAGGGAAATAGCAAGTGGTGTTCCTTTTGTTAATGTGCACAATTGGAGCAGGTGGAGAAGTTCACTGAAACTTTTCCAGAACCTGTTTTTTCCTGCATTGTGTAGTAGAAGAATTTTCCCAATAAGAAATAAACATTTGCTACATCCACCCTGCTGTCCTTCCCCCATCCTCAAACAGTTACACTTATTTTGACTTTTTCTGATGAGTACCAAAGATATGTCTGGAATACCAAGCGGCCAAGTGTACAAACACCAGAGTATGGATGTGTGATAACTGAACTTCTTGGGAAGAGAGTAGTTGAATGTTAACCCATTCATTTACTTTATTTTTTCTTTCTTTCTTCCCTCTCAACTTCTTTGTTTTGGAAGAATCTACCAAAAATGAGACTATCACCAAATTTTTGCAGTTGTGCATATTTCCCCGGTGCATTTTTTCGGCAATTGATGCAGTTTACTGTGCTCACTTTGTTGAACTGGTGCATCAGCAGAAAACACCCAACTTCTCCACACTTCTCTGCTATGACCGAGTAAGTAGCTACAACTGTGTGTATGTGTATGTGTACATCATTACCATATGAACATGCCAAACTAGTGTCTCCACTGCCTCCCAAAAGAGGTAAACAAATAATTACTGAAGTTTAATTTCAGAATCTGTAACAACCACAAGTTCACCTTGGTACTTCAGATCTTACAAACCAAGTTTTCTTAAAGCTTCAGAGGGTTATGTTTGTGTTTTACCCTAATGACTCTAGAGTTTCAGAGCAAAGTCATTAGAAGTCAGGGGAGTTGCTTTCAGGTTTTGCAACCTTTTAAGTACTCTACATTTCCATGACCTCCTCTTAGAGGAAAACAAAACAGTTATGTCAGTGAATTATTGGTGATTTAGATGAGAGGAATTTGTAAATCTTATAGTTTTTATTGTTCAGTAAAGTCACAGTAACTTTTTCTTGCTCTGTTCACAGGTTTTCTCTGATATTATATATACAGTTGCAAGTTGCACTGAAAATGAAGCCAGTAGATATGGCAGGTTTTTATGCTGTATGCTGGAAACCGTGACTAGATGGCACAGTGACAGAGTCATATATGAAAAGGTATGTGAGCTTCTCCTTGGAATATGTAATGGCCACTTGTGTAATTCAGCCCAATAAAAATGGATTTAGTGAAATTTAGTTAGATTTAAAACCAGTGTGATTGGATTTTTCTGCCGGTCTAATTGTAGAAATAAATTTCTGTAATTCATGTAGTTTTGATAGAAGTAATTTTGGATAGTGTTAAAAATATATTGGCTAAAAAAAACCCTTCTATTTCTGATTTTTCTCATAGCTTGTCTTGAAGATAATTTAGGGAACATATGGAAACTCTCCTAATACTCCTTGCAAAAAAAACCCTAGTTAAATTATGAATAATCTGTTCTCTTACCCACAACTAAAATTTTGATATAAACAAGGTTTCAGAAAAAAAAATGTGTGTAAGTCTTGTAAACTGTGATTGTGTCTTATTCTTTAGACTTTAGAATTTAGAATTACCAGTTTTGTTTCCTGAAAAATAATTTTTTCTCTTTTCTTTGATGCATATCTAGGAATGTGGCAACTATCCAGGCTTCCTGACTATATTACGGGCAACTGGATTTGATGGTGGAAATAAGGCTGATCAATTGGATTATGAGAATTTTAGACATGTGGTACACAAATGGCACTATAAATTAACTAAGGTAAATAGAGATGCCAAAACCCTGAGGTTTTTGGAAGCTTTAATAAAAAAACAAACAGCTTCATTAAATGTAATTTGTGTTTTAGGCTTCTGTGCACTGCCTGGAAACGGGTGAATATACACATATCAGAAACATCCTGATTGTGCTGACCAAAATCCTTCCATGGTATCCAAAAGTGCTGAACCTGGGTCAAGCCTTGGAAAGAAGAGTACACAAGATATGTCAGGAAGAGAAAGAGAAGAGACCTGATCTATATGCATTGGCTATGGGGTAACAACAACTTACTTTAAGAAAGTGGTTAAAAGTGGATCGTGAAAGGCATCTAAAGACTCGGAACTGTTACAGTCCTAACATTTGATTTTTACCTTATCACAGAAGATTCGCTATCCTGCGTCTCGGTGCTGGCAGTGTGAATGAAAACATTCATTTTGTGCTGGATGATCACTAAGTTCCTTTACAAGACTCTAGTAAAACACTTGAAATAGTACAGATTTCCACTCACAGGGGCATAGCTGTATTTTAGAGAAATAGTACAGCAGCAAGGAGATAGGAGGGATAGTAAAATGAAGAAAGCCGAGGGCTATTTCTGCAAGACTGCTTAGATTTTGAAAGTTTATATGATTCTAAAATGCTTAGTTACACGTTCCATCTTTCTGTGGTGAACGTGGAATCATCCTCGTGTGCCTGAGGGGCAGTTCAGGTTGCCCGAACAGTTTAAGTTTTGTCAGCAGTTCCGTGTGTTTGACAGATGTGTGTGTGTGCGTGTGTGTGTGTGGTGGTGATGAAGAGGGTGTGGAGGTAGGGCTGCTTCTGTGTCTAGTGGGTTTGTTTGTTTTTCTTTTTCTTTTGAGCTCATCAATAAAGGGGGAAGAAACTGCGTATCAGTTAGGAAAAACTGTGAAATAAATAACAGATGAACTGTTAGATTAGATCCTCATTTAAGATTCAACCCATGTTTTGCTTTATGTTTGTGCATATTTAACAATCTGTGCGACTTGCAGCTATTCTGGACAGTTGAAAAGTAGGAAGCCTTTCATGATACCTGAAAATGAATTTCACCACAAAGACCCACCTGCCAGGAATGCTGTACCTGCAACAGTACAAAATGGGCCAGGTGGTGCTGGGATGCCAACGTCTCTCACAATAAATACAGTTAGACTGGAAGAGGGCACTACTGAGGAGACTGGTAAGCACACCTATGATTATTATGTTTATTTCTTATGACATTACAGGCTTGTCTCAAAATTTGGCTCATTAAGCTGAAAAGAAAAAATATAAATGTGATGCTAAATAGGGTAAATGTACATTCTTTATTTTTACTTGATTTTGGGAGGAGGTGTTCTTAATCTAACTGCCTATTTTAGATGCTTCCTACACATGACCATACATGAATATGCTTAGCCACTTGTTTTATTTTAACCAATAGGATGTGTATTAGCTTGTTAAAATAGAGTTGTTCTCTTTTTTTAAACAGATAAACTGAAGGAGAAGTCTCAGGGTGTGGTGAAAGTTATTAATAAAACTGTCAACGCTACACCAAAAGTGACAACAAGCAATGGAAATAGTGCATCTAATAGGTGAGAAAAACTATTCTTACTCATTCTCAATTTTCTTCCTTCCAAGCCACAGAACTATGCTTGAAAATTACCTGTCTTTTATTTTTACTTTCAGGTTGTGAATAGATTGTTTACATTTCTTTAGAGTTTAATAAATTAGATTATTTCTTTCAAAATACACAGCTGTACTAATCAGACATTGTTGTTAAATGCATTCCATTTTAGCTAAACAGAGATAAAACAAATGAGAACATTTGCTTGATGCTGTTCTGATAAAGAAACAGCAAATCTGAAATCTCGAAGTGACTGCTTCAGGAAATGCTATCAAACCTTAGAAGTAAAACTTTCATGATGAAACTGGAGGTGTGTTTTGCATGCATGCTAATTGGCCTTTTCATTTTCGATGCAGCAAAATTATTAAAGAGAAAGATGATAAAGAAAAAAGCGGGAAGGAAAAAGATAAAGAAAAAAAAGACAAGACTCCAGCTGCCACTCCGGAGATGAAGGCACTTGGGAAGGATGGGAAAGATAAACCGAAGGAAGAACGGGCAAACAAAGAGGAGAAAGCAAGAGAGATCAAGGAGAAAACGCCGAAATCTGACAAAGAGAAGGAAAAAGTCAAGAAAGAAGAAAAAGCTTCAAAAGAAGAAAAATCCAAGACGGTTGTTACCATCATTGAGTCAAAGTCAGCTGCAGAAAAGGAGAGAGAAAAGGAGCCGTCCAGAGAAAGAGATTTGGCGAAGGAAATGAAATCCAAGGAAAATGCTAAAGGAGGAGAAAAGGTGCCAGTAGCTGGGTCCTTGAAGTCACCTGTTCCCCGATCAGAAACATCAGAATCTGAAAGGGGTAAGTTTGGATATCTGTTCTTGCCTAGAAAAACAGAATGTCACTGGAAAGTCACTGAACGTCAGAAGATGCTAGAGAAGGTGAAAAAAAAATCCCTACATAATAGCTGGGATATTAGCATTGGCATTTCAATACAGTATCTAAAATAGGTGGTCAGAATATCTCCAAAATGCAGACTATGAATGTGTGAACTTCATGTGTCTTCTGTGAATGCTTGCTTTCACAAAACCTTTAATTTTTTTCTACTGTAAGTCTAAACAGTCTTTTATTAAAATATATTTGTAAAACTTTGGCCTTTTAAGTTTTGTAAAAATGTAGTGCAAACACCTCAGTAGTGTACTCTGAGAGTTTCATCACAACCTTTGTACTGGAAGAAAAGAGGGAGAGTAGAAGATGTAGGTCTGTGTCCTTAAGAAGGACACAGGAAGCTTTATTACTTGCTTCTTATATTAAGGGTTAGCAAATCCTTAATGTTGATACTTTAAGCTTTTATGATCTGAGGTCGATGTTGAGTTTTATACTTGTGCTGCTTAAGACAAACCACATAAGGGAGGGTTGTAATGCTTTTCGTTGGGTTCACCTTTTCAGGGTCTTCAAAGCAACTCTGAAATTCAGATACTGACTTCTGTAAAGTGGAAGTTGGAAGTGAGCATAGTTTTGCAGCAGTTTGCTCACTTCATAAAGAGGGTCAAGGCATGCTAGTAACTCTAGATAGCTTAAGGAAAACAAAACTTGGTGGTACAAAATGAATTCTAGCTTAAATTGTGTTGGTACTTCAGAAAGTGATATTATTGGATTCTCCTCTTTTTACTGTGTTTGAATAATGCCATTGTTCTGTTCTTTCCTCAGAACAAAAACGCCGCAAAGTTGATACACATTCTTCTCCATCACATTCCTCAACAGTAAAGGTTAGTATAGCCTGAGGAAGGCAGCACCCATGTTAGGCTCACGAGTTTGGGATGCCAGTATTCGACTTCCTTCAAGTTTTGTGCCAAGTATACACTGGAACCACTGGAGGTTTTTTGTTGCATTAGAAAATGCATTCCTTTTCTTTATTGGCGGACTGTCTTTTTTCTATAAAAATATTTTTTAATTAACCAAAATAATGCTTCAAGGACCTAGCACAAATTTTGTAAAATAGTGTTTGGAAATTGCAAGAGAATTTTTACACAGAAGTGCCTCATTGCTTTAAGCAGTCAGTTTTTTTGGAGTGCAATGGTAGCTACAAGCAAATGAGTCTTTGCAACAGAGTGGAGCATATTTTTCTGCACTTCTATTGAAGAATCTGTAGCACTGAAGATTCCTGGATGATACGGGATGTGCGATACCTCTGAATTCATCAGGCTTCTTGATGAGCATCATACCGATATGTGCCTTCTAAGGAGGAGTCTTGAAAGGAGTTCCATTTTAAAGTCTCCTTGGTGATCAGTTCTCCTGTAGTTGTGTATATTCAGTGCGCATGCAGCTTCTGTTGTACCTTCCCTTCGAGGTTTGTTTATTTCCAATGGGTTCCCACCATGTTGAGCCCTGCGTTACGATAAAACCAGATGTGGCAACCAAGCCTCCTACCCAGCAAAGAGAAACCCCAAGCATTCAAGCGCAGCACAAAACCATGGGCGTAGCCTACTTGAAGACTCAGGGTAGCCATTCCTTGCTCCATATTTATATTATTTCTAAACCATCTATGTTCATGGAATCTTTGAATTTGCAGTACGTTGAACATTTAAAACTGTAAGTTACTAATACTTCATCAAGAGCACTGTGATGGATTATGTGGGTCTTTAAACTTCACCATCTTACCAACTCTAGAACAACCTCTTCTTTTTTTTTTTTTTTTCTGTTTTTTTTCAAAGAGTACATCTTTTTCTGTGTAAGATTTACTTGAAAGATTTAGCTTAATTTTGGAAAACTCGAATAGCTTTTACTAGTTTCGAGGAAACAGGTGACAGTGATAACTACTCATAATGATCAAGTTTTTCGTAAATGGCAGCGTAAAGTCATTCTAGAGTGACTTCTACCACATTTAACTGGAAGTGGAG